CCACCACAGGAAGTGAAGTACCAGCAAGGGTATGGGAGACTGAATCGGCCAATTGATGAAGAGCAAAAGTTGAGATCCATCCTGAGGGGCGAATTTCACGCTACAACTAAATTGATGCACCACGAGTTTCAGCTGATGGTCTAGCTCACTCAGATCACAATGTTATAATGGTTCCGTCTCCTATGGGTAAGCTGAACCATGCAGACGACGTAGAGGTCAGTTCGTGTTTACTACACACAGCCAGACACTCCATTGACGGCTTTTCATCGAAAGAGTGCACGTAGTGAATGAGGACGGCCACATCCAGCTTTTTTGACATTAAGCAGTACGCGCCAGAATTCGTGCGACATGCCGACATATGCAATAGACTGATACTCTTTCGCTAATCGACATTGACTCAGGTTGGGATATTGATCATCGTTTAGTCTATTCTGAAGTCATTCCAGTCATGATAGGATGCAGGTTTTTTGATGAGCTTATGTACTGTAAAAAGTAACTACTGAAATAGTATGCATTTTTATCATTGATTTTGACTGCCTCTACAAATTCAAATGTATTTTATGAAAAACATGCAAGATAAAATCATTTCTTGTACTCGTTTGGTAGAAAATTGGGCTTTCTTTAAATTTCATACTCAAAGATAAGGAATTTTTATGTTTTTTAAAAAGTTTCTTAATTGAAACCTACTGAGTGCTGCACTCGAATTCAAGGTTTAGCAGACTGAGCACTTTGTAGATCCTGTTAAAAGAATGGTACGTTTACACCTACAGTTTGAGGAACAAGTCACATAATTCTCATAAAATGCTGCGATAGATGTGGAGCATGATTTTTACAGTATAGGCAGCATTAATAAATTGACGGATACGATTTATTATGAATGAAGACCTCACAATAGTAAAAAAATCATAATTGTAAATGTTTCTAAAACCGAAGGATACTTTTACTTTAAGCATTGCATTTTAAGGTGTAATTTGCTACCAATCGAGTATAAGAAATATTTTTTCGTGCATGTTTTCCATACAATATATTTGAATTTATCAAGGCAGTCAGTGATAAAAACGCACACTATTTAAGTAGTTACTTTTTACAATACCTACGTTTTGCTAGTGGTCAGAACGAAGCTCGTTAAAAAGCCCGCATCCTAGCATGACTGAAATCACTCCAGAATAGGCTGCACGATAATGAGTATCACAACCTGAGTCAATGTCGGTTAGCGAAAGAGTATCAATCTTTCGGTTATG